TTGGATATAATCTAACAATAATTGACTGTTGTGTGGTTATAAGATCACATAAATGAATTTCGACCTTTTTAAGTATGCTTATATTTATTTAACGTCTAATGTGCTTAAGTAGACACAAAATCAATGTAATTACTGTATCTATGACTGTGTGACACATGGTAATGCACTCTGTGTAAATCTATGTGTGTGTAAACATTATACTCACGGTGCCTGACAGAATATCGTGGGGACATGAATCCAAAAGATGACTTTTGCAGACCCGCTCATCGCTGAATTTGATTCTCTGCCGCATGGTGTCCCCTGTAGAATGAAAAACACACGAGTAAGAAGGTGTAATCTCGACTTCAGTCGACCAGTCTCACGATTAAACAAAAACAACCACATGCTAAATCATTTCGGTCACATATGAACAGAGAACGAGTCAAACATCTGTGGCAACAACCTGCAAAGCTATACAAATTTAGCTAAAATAAAAATGGTGGAATGGTGCCACGAACAAACAAGCACACTGCCCATGACCAAGTAAAACGCTAAAAAGTTCGTAAGAGAGGGTTCACAGATGTTGCTAACAGCTAAACTTGCCATGTAAACTCAAAGACAACAGGTAGCTTAGCGGCTAACTGTCCTCATGTAAGCTAGCTCGGTCGGTCCTGCATGCCTCCCTGTCACTGTGTGGCAGACTGGTTAGCTAGCCTTAGCTAGCGTTAGCAACAACTCAATTACTGCCCCTAGCTTTAACCAGAAGCCGATCTCAGCCACCGCGCACAAAGCTCACCGTCTCTACCCGTCCCCATGAGCTGGTCGAGCATCGCCCGCATCTGTGCCTGGGCCGACATGTTGGTCTGGTTGTTCAGCCGCTAACTGTTTGAGTCGCTCCTCGCCAGCTGCGGTCTTCACACATGCAGCCTCCTCGACTGCAGGCCTCGGCCGCGGCTCGTCCACCACCACCACCACTACCGCCGACAACTTTTCCCACACGGAAGACCAAACCCAGAGTCCCGCTGAGCTGACCGGCTGGTCGGTTGTGTGTCTCCTCGGTACAACTCTGTGGGTATTACACACTTGAGCGGCGGCTAACTGTGACTTTGTGACGGTGGACGGCTGCGGGTCGGTGCAGGAGCAAGTCTGTTTGAAAACTGCCGGAGTCCGCCAGGCGAGTGGAGGCAGCGGTGACTGGGTGTAGACACAGCGGAAGGCTGGCGGCCTGAATTCACATGAAAACAAGTCTCCAGCACTATAGCAACATGTTCTGTGACTGTGTGCGGATCCAGTCACTTAGTTGACAAGTTTATTCTGCGTCCTTTCTTCCGTCTTTCCACTTCCCCTCCGTGCGCGTCCCCGCGGAGCGCGCTCAACCCCCTACGCCTCGAGGAAGTGCTGCAGTCAGCCTCGCGCGCCCGTCGTTGTGGTGACGCCTCACTATTTGAAAAAAGACTACAATAAAATACTTCTACATATTCAGTTAAACAGCTTTTCTGAAACTACTCAACACATATTTGAAACAAACTCCAGTGTATATAGGAAATACAGCATATGTCGACTCTTTTAAAAATGTAAAAAAGTTATTTTCGAGGTCTTCTTAATAAATTCAACCATTTCTTTTATTTAATTGTAATCTTGAATATGAAATATGAAAGGCTCATTCAAGGGTAAAGAAAACAACAACTTGCACATTTCAGATAAAACACACTGGTGATACGATCATTAGGATCATTTTATATTCACTTTCGGCCAATAGATCCCTTTCACCTAAATCCTATACACTTGACCTTTAAAAGACCAACTAAAATATTGAAATCATTGTCCTCCATAGAAAAGACCTACTCCTGATGTACATATAAAGTATTTGAATATAAAAGGCTCATTCAAGGGTAAAGAAAACTACAACTTGCACATTTTAGTTAAAACACACTGGTGATACCATCATTAGGATCACACTAAACATTTATGCTTTTCATTTTCAACGTCTTTGTAGATATCACAACTTTTGGGAATTATGATGATTCTGTCATTAGTCTAAAAAGTCTAAATTTTAATTGTAGAGTGTAAACCTTTTGATTTAGAGCCCAAGTTCCTTAGAAAAATTTAATGAATGAATTATGACTTGATTGTCCTCATACAGCCCTGATTAAACCATAATTATTCACAAAAATTACAGGAAATGAAATATCATGAGGACTGCTAAATTGTAAGCAATACAAGCATTTTCATTGGAGTTATTGTTATATGGAGTAAACCATGAAGTTACAGGCAGTTCAGAAATTTGTTGAACTTTTACATTTCATGCATCTTACCCAATCAAGTAATTTCACATCAAGAGAGACGTTTTGAACAGATTTAATCTAAACATTGACAATGTAATGTGATGTTTGTAATTTGAAGAGGGTACATCTAATTATTACTTTGTCCTGTGCTCAGTCCCACTTACTTTGATTGTAGATAAGTTTGTCTTTAGGACAATGGGTACAATTGTTCAGATTGCTGCATTTTAAATGATATTAAGTGAATTCTGCCTTCATACTGTCTGTCAGTTGTTCACTCTTGGTAAATTTGTACACATATCTAAATGGACTTCCAACATTTTAAACGTATTTAATCATATTATTACTGGACAGCCATGACTTGTTAATAATGGCTTCTTTTTTTGACTTTTTATCTCATTATATGGTGTATCACTTTGTTGTAAATAAAGACATTTTATGAAATATTTGATACAATTTGCACTTAACTAATTTATAACTATATATCAGGGTATATTTGATCAATTATTTTCTAAATCCTAATTATTTATTAGTTGTTCTTACGTCACGCCCACAGTACATATCCCCAGCCCCTCCCTCTCTGTCATACACTGATAGAAATGGCGACGGCTGTACTGCGGCAGCCGCTGCGGCTCTTCACCGGGAATGTGGCCTTACTGGGCCGGAACAGCGGCTCCAGATCATCGACCATATCCAGGACCACTTCGATCCGAACCGCAGTGTCGACGTCCTCAGGAGCAATCCTACCCAAACCGGACAAAGTGAGTTTTTCTGCCTCAGTTACCGACGAGAACAACCGACTGGAAATGAGTCACTGGGAGGGCGGGGAGTAGCGCAGAATTGACAGCAGCGGTGGCCAATCGGAAGGCTGGAGACGCGCTGGGTTCCTCAGGGCGACCAATGAGACGCATGTTTACACGAGCGAAAGGGATCTTTCAGGAAGTAATTGCCACATATTTTTACGTTTCAATTGGAATCCTTGAATTAAGACGTCATATTAATGTAGTGAGTCGAAATATTGTGTAATTAAGAGAGTGAATGGCTGCTTTGTTCGATGAGGAAGAACTTGACACACATGCTGAACATCTTATGGTGGATTGTGTAGTTTTGACAAAACATATCTCTTTAGCTATTAAAACAACCTTACATACAATGAAACTGAACAAGTCGTTCTCCAACATTTTTGATTTAATTAATTATCCACATTAGCCTCAAATGTACTCTTTCTCAGTCAATTCAGCTCAATAAGAAATAAACAGAAAAATCCACCTCAAGGGCCAAAAGGAGAAAAATGTCCAAAACAGCTACAGAAATACTCACAACCAGTTGTGGAGCCACAGGGCAAAAAGGATTATGTGATGTCTCAAAACTAGCTCTGGTTAACCCAACTCATATCATTTATCAGAATATGCACCAAGATAATGAAGGTCTTATTAAAGATGTTGGCAGGGGCCCTCCACAGATGCAGAAAACCTCAGATATGTTAATAGTTATAAGGATAATCTTGTTTAAACAGCACCCTTCATTGTAGCCAAGGCTGCTTTACAGAGCTAGGAAAGTGAAAAATAAAACAAGTGAAGGACAGAAAATCAAAGTAGAAATACCAGCTGGGGATGATGAAACTAGCCCTTGTGACCAGGTGAGTTTAAGAGTTTTCTTAAAGTGCTCAGAGATAGGGCGTTGCAGATTTCTGCCAGGAGAGAGTCCCAGAGGGTGGGGGCTGCCACACTGAAGGATGGATTTTGTATATGATGTAGGATGTGAGGGGAAGCCATTGAGTGAGTTTCAACCTGAAAGTGACGGTATGCAGGCTAAAATGTTTAGCATAGCCTGCTGCTGACAGATTTCAACTTCACTATGTCCACTGGATCCAGCCGTGCTGCATGTGAGACAAGCTAACAGCCCTGTGAGCAGACACACATTATTAACAACACTCTTCCTTGTTGAGGTAACATCCAAGATGGGGCTCTTTTGTTTAGCTTTCAGGGAAACAGTTGCCATGATCTGGACAGAACTCTTCTACAGCAAACTGAAATTACAGACAGTTCATGTGCCGCATTTCAAGTTAATCTTCAATTTTGATGTCACATTTCCCCCTCATGTTTTCCAGACACCATTTGGTCTTATCAGAATGACAGTAGTGGTGGTGCCTTTCCTGTATGTTGGAACTCTCATCAGCAAGAACTTTGCAGCTCTTTTGGAGGAACACGACATCTTTGTCCCTGAGGACGATGATGACGATGACTGAGCTACGGCCAGAGAATAAATGGTAAAGTCAGAGTGTGCATAAGCCACACCTTATTTAACCTTTAAACACTTTTTTATGGACAATCTTATCTGTTTTCCCAGGGTGTAGTTTGATGTTTGCAGTGATGACATGTTATTTTTGCCATTTACATCCACAGGGTGCTTTGCAATACTGACTGAAAGCATACCAGCCAAACCAAGGAAGATGGAGAAGATGGGGCATTTTGATTTTCAAAAATCTCCCTCTACCTCCACCCATCTCCAATATCACTCCTGTGCTACTTATCTTGTTTGCATTGAAATGATTTTAGAAAATTCATATCATGTGAAGCTATAAAACTACCGGTTTAGCTCTCACTCTTGTTTGCATGTTTATGTCTGTCAACTCAATAAAGAGTCGATTACATGTGGAAAACACTTTTTTAATCTTCACAGTCTTACACAGTTTTTGCCACAATTCTTATCCTGACTTGTTGAAGCCATATCTGCTCATAACCCACATTATTATAATTTAAAGATGTTGTTAGATTAGTTATTGGCTTGCTTGGATTTTTCCAGGTACATTTAAAACATCTGTCCTCATTGGTCAGGTCTGTCTTGCTCCTTCCTGAATTGCAGCGTTGGCCAGTCTCAAGTGTTCGTTGAGCGAGCCCCTCTCCAGCTGGCTGCGACCCCTCGTGTCACTCAGCTCTACATAGGCCTCCTTATAATGCTCATAAGCTGCTTCTTTTTCCTAGAGTCGAGGTTGAGGCAAATAAGGCAGCCACATCATGACCAGGCAGTTTGAATCAGACGTTTAAAGTATAATATGATGTAGAAGTGTATTTTTTATTCAGATTGGAAAACACACCTTGTTGAGAGACTGCACTTCATTCTGCAGACAGCTGATTTCTTTCTTAAGATACTGCACCTCGTTTTCTTTTGCTCTCAGCAGCACCTGAAGGACATAGAAAAGTGACTTCTTTCTATCACCAGATGGATAAGTTTGGGAATGCAACTATAACTACTATTTTGAAAATTCGTATTAAATACAGAGAATGAAGCAGAGAAAAAGGTGATTTAAAATAAACAGAAACAGAGCAGTTACTATATTGTTATTCTGACACGTGTTACTTAATTCAAACAGTAGGTGGCACTATCTGCTGCACCAGACTGATCAACCACAGATGGTCATCACATATCAGAAACACAGAAAGGTGTGATAGTTGCTGCAGGGAGGGATTACTGGTGATAAAAGGCAAAACAGTAAAAGTGCTGTGATCAGTTGTGTTAATGTGGGTTCAAAATCCCACACACTTCGAATGTTGCTTTGCTTCCCCATGACGACAGTAATGTCAACATTTGTCCTTCATGTGCAGGTCAATATTTCAGTTGCAATAAGAGAAACTGAATTCACTTGTGTTGACATTGTTAAGGGTCTAATTTAATCAGAAAAATACAATTTGATCACTATCAATCAGTACCTCCACCTCTGACACAGTGCGCTCAGTGCTGCCAAGAGACACAGTGTCCGACCTCTGCCCTGTGATGAAGTAACGCATGCGGCTGATCTCTTCTGCTAGTTTGGCCTTAAGTTCCTGAAAATAAAAGATTATATAGCTCAAGAAATGCAGTGAACTTACATGCTTAGTAACAGTACCTTATTATGTCTAGTTTAGTTTATTTAAGGATCCCTTTTAGAATCACATGGGGTCCTGGACATAAAAATACAACACAGATGTACCATATAGAAAATGCAGGCAAACATAAAAATATAAAGATCTAAAAGAAAGAAACCAAGTGTTTGTTTGTAAGCAAGATTACAAAAAAAACTCTGTATGCGTTACCATGAAACTTGGTGGAATAATGTAGTCTGGGTCAGGAAGTGAGTGTGTGGAATTTGGAGCAGTTTTATTGAGTTCAAGGGGACTGTTGGGCTTGGCGGAGGTATGTGCTCCACTGACCCTCTAAGAAGAAAAACAGTATCTGATGGTATCATATTAACACACAAGGAAATCAGACTTGTATTGCACGTTAACCTGGTTCTCTCTGTGAAGCTGCTCCAGCTCTCTCTCCTTGCGGCCGAGCTCGGTCTCTCGGCTCTTGCCGCTCTGCTCAGTGCGGTTCAGCTCCAGGCACTTCTGAGAGTAACGCTCTGATAGCACATCTAACTCACTGTGCAAGACTTGGGGCCTGACACACACATACACACACACACACACACACACACACACACACACACACACACACACACACAGTCACGGAGCCAATTCTAATGCGCCATAATTTCCATGCAAAGGGTCACGGTCGAGTGCAGAACATCTGAGGCGTGCAGCGAGAGCCTGTTAGATGAACATCACTCTCAGTGCCTGTAATAAACTTACATGTGGCCCCTGTATGATGTGTCCATGTGTGCGGCCCCTGCAGACGACCTCCTTGCTTTCTCCACCTCCTCTCTGTGAGCTGCTTTCAACACCTCCATAGCTTTGATGAACAGTTGGAGAATTAATTAATCATAATTGTCCACAGGGTGGAAAATTATCTTTGGCTTCACTACACAGCTTTAATAATAACAAAAAGGCAGTTAGATGAGGAAAGATATCAAGAAGATAGCATCAATAAACAATTATTATTTTTTAAGGCAAACATAAATACAAAAATAGATGTTTGTAAAACTTCACTGAGAATACCATTAAATAACATTTTTAAAAACAATTTAAGGACACTCAAAAGCCTGGGAGAACATGGGAGTCTTCAGTCTAGTCTAAAATATGTTGACAGACAGAGAGAACT